AGCGGCTCTACACAATATCCGCGTGCTTTGTCCTGTAATTGCAGTCTACGCCATAAACACCTATCGCCATTCCGCCCGGTTATTTATCACCGGTGGTAAAGAGATAACGTCAGCCTAGGGAACAACTTATTATTGCTATCAGTGGTGATCACATGACAATTTATGTTGCTAAGCGCAAGAATAACCAATACCGAGGTCATACTTCCTATCATTCCAGATCAGCAGTCTACTTGTCAGGTTGCCATAACCGAAAAGCTCATTAAGCTCTTGCCGCAGTCGTTTGTTTCCGGATATCTGCTTGTGAGTCGTATAGATAAGGCTATGTCTCGCGATTTTTTCCACTCTAGCAAAAGGGTTTTTGTAACTACTCTTGGAGATTAATTTAAAAGCACATAGAGCTTTTCGTGGAAGGTGTGTCCGAGTTCAGTATGCATAGTATTTTAATACAAACATAAAAAGTTTGGTGCCGCGTCCGACCCCGCTTTCAGGCGAATTCCAGGTGACACACAGGATATAGAAGCGGGGTGGAAGTGTCCTTCTTCAAAATGTAGATATATTGAGCACATAGTTGATGACCGTTTAAGGTTACCGTGCACCTTCAGGGGTGTCTCGCGTGAAAGCGATGTAGCGCGTCCGGTTTAAACTCTAGATATCTAAACCCCTATATCAAATTAAAGCTTATGGGACTGGCTATCAGACTATACCAAAGATTTTGAAAAAAACATGAATTGTCGAATTTTTCACGACTTCTAAACGCGAGCGCCCGAATCACCTTTTAAGAGCTACAAGTCAAAGGAAATTTGTTCGATTGCTCCCTAAATACGTTTTTTTCAAGAGCGATTTTTGTACCATCACTCCACATTTTTTTAATCCTATTTCAAAAATTTTCTGTAATTTTTCGCTGAAATTGAATATGGCAAATCGCAGACACGTTTTTTAGTGCTTTGGCCCCGGAAACGGCGGAACACATTAACTGAGCGAAAAACAAAAGTCGCTTTAACACGTAACGTTTAAAAGGTGATTCGGACGCTCGCATTTAGAAGTCGTGAAAAATTCGACAATTAATTTTTTTTTCAAAATTTTTAATATAGTCTGATAGCCAGTCCTATAAGCTTTAATTTGATATGAGGGTTTAGATATCTACAGTTTAAGCCGAACGCGCTACATCGTTTGCACGCGAGACACCCCTGAAGGTTCACGGTAACCCTAAGCGTGTCAAAAGCGCTTTTGCTTTAATTTAATTGTTTAACTATTCTAATAGCTGCTTAGTTGTAGTCTGCTTATACAGTGTCTATTTAATGCAGTAGTCTTGACGGGGAACGCAAGTTGTATCTGGCCCGTCTCAGATTTCCAGCCCTTTTTTCCCCCTAGAGGTTTTGAGGGCAGGTTTTTCCTGGTTACCCTGGCAAGCTCGCTAAAATGATTTTATCAATTCTTTTACATCAATTTGCATTATATGTTGCCGATTAAAGCGCGGATATATGGCGTTTACCACACAGGTCATATTCCATTATTCTCCATGATTTGTAGTATCTTGCACTCATTTTGCGTATTTAAGTTAGTGCAGAGATATGTAACCCTACATATCAGCGATTTCTGAACGTTTTTTAAAGCCTTCCACGAAAAAGATGGATCAGCTCTCGTCTATTCCCTGGCACCCAGTATGTTCATCTTTTTATCACAGGACTCGATGGCATTGCAAAAGTTTTCTAACTGGTAGCTTCGTTTGCAAAGGAAGAGGAGGAAAAGGCTACAAGGACAAATAGCGATAGCTCCCGGGTTATCGGTTGCAATTCTCCCTTGCAGTTCTCGACATTTTGCCCTTTACAACTCTCTATCTTACCAACTTATATAAACAACATCTTTCATACATTTAACCTTTAATGACACTCGACTAACGAAAGTACATGTTTTCATTATCGTCTGTTGTATCATATACTTCTTTATCACTTTGGCTGATAAAACAACTTTTCGAAGAATGTTACCGGGCTAAAAATTAACTCCAGTGCTTGGTGGCCAGTCGGACTAGTTTCCTTGAATCCTTAGTGGCCCATCCCAAAGTGAAGTTACCTTCGATTTCCTCTAGTTTAAAGTGAAAAACTTGAATAAACGCCCCATGGCTTTTATTCGAGTTTATTCAATCACGGAACTCTGGATAAGTCCAGAGTCACGTGGCAACCACAAAATCAAAATGACGTCTATATGTAGTAAAATTCACTAAAATGGATGATCTTAGAGCCCAGGCAAAGAAACGAAGAGAAAGGTAGTCCAATTAAACTATATACTGAGTTTTATTTTTAACTTTGTACTTCCCATAATTTACATTGCAACTTTTCGAAATTCTGTAGCATGGTCGCAGATCGGGCGTTCAAACCTTAACTTAAGGTGGCCACAGTCAGTTTTAACTCGCCACTGGCGACCGTGCGACCGCCAATTTTTAGACCTGATTTAACTTACATGTACTACTTTAATATATTCACGAGCTAAAAAATCGAACTCATGCTTCTCTCCAAGAGGGATTATCGTATTTAAAGCTTTTTCAGTTGTTTACTCTCTAATAATTAGCACACTGGTTAACGTGTTTGTAAATTAAATGACAAACTTTTTTGCAATAAACTTTTCTACAGGATTGCTTATGGTGGCTCAAGCCTCTGCTTGCCCTCTCGCGTCTTGGTGGCTGCCTTTGAAAGGTCGAACATCTTTTTTCTGTGGATTTTGAAAAATAATTCAATAAATAAAAAAAATTGGAGCGGCGCCGCGTTTCAATATTGGACCTACCATAATAATCAAGAAATGTTGGTAAGAGCTGCTTAAGTCAGTAATACAGACATTATTGGTA